AATTCAAGGCTTTAAACAGAGGAAGGGAAAAAGATGTCTATGTCTGGTGGGCAACTAATATTTAAATGGTGAAAAATACAATGTGTAATAATTCACATAAACAGTAAACAACTAATAAGCCAATATGTCATTGTGTGTGTTCATTCATTCATTCATCTATTTATGTCTTGGTAGTGGGGATTGAACCCAGGGATGAGCCACATTCCCAGAAATGTGCTGCTTTTTAAATTTTGAGAGAGATCTCACTAAGTTGCTTAGGCCTTTGCTCAGTTTCTGAGGCTAGCTTTCAACTTGCAATCCTCTTGCCTCAGTCTCTTGAGTTTTTGCGATTACTGGCATATACCACCCTGCCCAGCTTCAATGGTGTTTCTATTCAGGGATAAATTATGCAGCAAAAACAAAAAACAGCCAACCAACAAACACGCAAATTTATACTACCATTCAATTCCAAAGAAGTGTGTAAGTATTTACCATGTCTTGTTTTTGCTTCTTTAGAAAACACAGAAAATAGAGCCATGAATTCTGCACTCTACATTCTACAGCTTATTTATTTATTTATTTATTTATTCTAATAAAACCTAAATTTTATAGACATATAAACAAATTTAAAAGAGTCAGAAATTAGAATAAATTACATAATAATATTTTTGGCAAGATTGTATTTTATTCTTATTGGGCAATAAGAATCTTTGTGTTAGCAATTCTAAATAGGCTACTAAATTAGCACAGAGTTTAGCATATGTTGGGGTCCAGTAGATATTTATCAAATTAACAATAAATAACCAGAAGGGAACTACCCATTTTTTAGTACCTTTGGGATACCAGATTTCTATATTGATATTCTTAGTAAATTATTAACCTAAGTGTCTATGAAGACATTACTTTTCACTGGAGGCACTTTTCTGTAGTAGAAAAAAAATGTAATCCATATTTATAAAATAAGTTTATCTTTGAACATGTTTATAAAATTATAATATAAAACAGATATTTTGCTTTCATTATATCCTAGTTCATGAATTAAACACTAAACTAGACTATATTTTTAAAGGTGTTTTTCTAAGCTGATGAATTCTACATGTATTATAGTGGGATTAAGAATACCACTGAGGTAATTGGTGGAAATTTTCACATCAACATAGAAGGTGAGCAGGTGTCAAAGCTTTCAAAATTTGAAGAATTAGTTCGAGAAAGGATCAGCAAGTGTGTAATTAGAGTCAACATGTCCTGTTTAGCTGACGTAAATGGTTAGTTTTCTCACTTTGAATAGCAAGATCTTACTTACTGAAATATCCTTAAATTTAATCAGCCCACATAAAGGCAAATAGAAAAGAAGAAAATAAAAAAATATATTGAAAATATACTACAAACACAGCAATCTGAATGTGAAATTCAAAAACTAAGTTCAGTTTGTACCTTTACTGATTCATAATGGATTCAAAACAAAGATCTAGAGGAGTCCATGACAACCTGATGGCAGCACTAGAGCTGTTTTCATCTTTCAAAGATTGCCACAATAAAATTTCCTTCTCATATGTACTTATTGTTACATAACCTGGATGCTCCTTCCATAGGGAAAAGGAATGTTTCTACCCCTTGAGCCTGGCAGAGGTTTGACTATAGCAGAAGTGACACTGCAAATTCCAAAGCTAGTTTGTAAGAAGTTCTACCTATTTGTCTTGGGAAGCTTGTTTTCTGAACCCACTATCTCACTGTGTTAGCAAGCCACACAAACAACCTCTAAGAGGCTCGTGCCACAGACCTCACTGGGCCCAAGTAGCCAGAATCAGCTCCTTAACCATGATAAGAGGTCATCAAGTCTCCAAAATACTTGTCAGCATCCTGAAAGTGGTGCCCACCTCTCAGTTAGGGGGGCTATGATGGAGCAAAGATATTCCTTCAACTCCTGCCCTAACTTGCAGATTTATGAAAACATTAAATGATTATATTTTGAAGCATTAAGGTCTGGTTGATAACTATGCTGCAACTGATAATCACAGTTATGTGTCTAGTTTAACAAGTAAACACACTGTTTTTTCCTATATGGCAATAAAAAATACTCCTTAATGCATAAATCTTCACCATATCTATTTAAATGTGTAAAGCTAAAATTTTCTTTGTAAAATTCAAATTCTTTTTGTTTCACCGGATGTTAAGGAAAGACTTACTCTGTTAAAAATGATGACGAAGTATGAAAATTGATCATTCCGGAATTTAGGATGACACTGAATTCAAAAAACATGATTTTAAAGGCTAATCAGGATATTTGTTTGTGAAACTGTTTATTGATAGTGGCTTGAAAACCTCTTTTTCAGGGTAGGGGTGTACCAGGGATTGAACTCAGGAACACTCAAACACTGAGCCACATCTCCAGCCCTATTTTGTATTTTATTTAGAGACAGGGTCTCAATGAGTTGCTTAGAGCTTCCCTGTTGCTGAGTCTGGCTTTGAACTCATGATTTTCCTGCCTCAGCCTCCCGAGATGCTGGAATTAAAGGTATGCACCACCATGCCCATGGAAACCTCTTTTTTTAATCCACATAAGTTCACCATGTCCAGGATCCTTTATGTTTCTAGTTTAAACACTATTTTCCAAGATATTCAGGGCATAAGATATTTCTTCTTCTTCTTCTTTTAGTTGTAGATTGTCATAATGTCTTTATTTTTATTTTATTTTATTTTTTGTGGTACTGATATCGAACCCAGGGCCTCACACGTGTGAGGCAAGCATTCTACAACTGAGCTACAACCCCAGCCCCAGAAGGAATTTCTTGACTGGGCACCATCATCACTTTGATGTTAGAAATGTTAATTCTTGCTATTGGAATGGCTTCGTCAACTAAAGACTGAATAGTTTTTGTCATTGACTAGTTATTTGTCAACTGAAGAAATATTTATTATTGGCTAGCTCTTCCTTGGGTACTGATACACAATATGAATATTAAAGTGCAACAATAGAGAGGATAAATTAAAGGCATTTAGTGTCCACTCTACAGAAGGAAGCTCCCACATAACTCAGCTGCAAGAATCAGAATAAGTCTATTATCTAGTTTAGAGACAGGACTCAAATGTATATTAATTTTATTTAGTCTTCTCAAATCTGATTTAAATTATATATTATTTGTATATGCATACATACTGTATATATGTCCAATATACATATTATATTGGACATATATACAGTATGTCCAATATACATATTATATGTATATTGGACATATAATGTATGTTGGACATATATACAGTATATATGCATATATTTAGTTATTAGCCATATGATCATGGGAAGTTACATAAACTCTACTTTCAAGAACTCATCTTTAAAATGAACTTAATGGTGGGCAAATCTGCAAAAGATCCTAGTATATATTCAACTAGTTAATATTTGTGCAGAGTTTAGCACATTTAATGTCAAACTCAATATCTGTATCACTGTTATTCATTATTATCATTTATATTATTATCCCAAATCCCATAAGGATGAGAAAATGCTCTGTCAGTAATCTGGAATAGAGAGGAAAGAAAGCTCCATGACACTTTATAAAATTAATTCAGTATATTCCATTTCTCATGCAGCAACATCAGTCCTTCTTTGCTTTCTTCAGTGCACTAAGTGCTGTTAAGCAGTCATCTGACTGATTCACTGAATTTAATTATTGTGATTATACTACATCCTCTTTCTTGGGGTCTCACTGGTACACTAGCTACATTAATTACCTCAGAAACATAAATTAATACTAAAATATATTTTTTACCATTTCCATTAAGCCACACAAAATTTAACATTTATTATCCTTAATAATTGTTTTCTTACTTAGATTCAACAAAATAAATCACGATGTATAAATTTAGGTAATATGCATGCATTTGTTCAGACAAGTTCTGATTAGCATTTTTGTCTTCAAAATTGCTTCAGCTAGCTGAAATTTTTGCCTTACATTGTGATGATGTTTTCTCCAAGTTTTTAAATTTTTGTCAAGTCAACTTCACCAGTGATCACTTATGCTATGAGTCAAGCCTATAGATATAACATGGGACAAGGACTTGTGAATTGAATAAAGTGCTATAATGTTTATTGTACATTTCTCCTGTTCTATTCTTCAAAATCTCAAATACAAAGAGGATACCAAAAACTTCAGCTTTCTTAAATGTTGAGAAAAAAATTCCCGATGTAAATTTTCACATTGGGAATTATGTTGCAAAGCCACAGAGCTGAATATTTCCCACTACAGTAGCAAAAGCATTAGTCAAATAGTTGATTGCCAGGAATTTGAATTTTCTGAAACAGAATAAGAATATATATATACATATATATTCCAACTTTAGAGCAGAATTGCTATTCTAGTCTCAACATGGTATCTGTTTGTCTTATAATTCATTTTTTTCTCATATATGTACATTTATCATCTGTGGTCTGAATTCCAAATTGACTGAAATTCATAGCTCCCTTAGCATTTTTTAAATTCAGAATTGAGTGCAGAAAATATGCATTCAGAATTTACTTTTTTGCTTTCTTAAATTATATCTTTAAGTGGTAGATACTTGTATTCAGAATTTCTCATCTCTTACTTGAAATGCTCAAGCATAATCTCCAACAACATTTCTGAACTCTTATAAGCTAGAAGGGCCTCCTGTTGGCCTGTGTCCTCTGATTTAGGACTGCACATTTAAATGTGAATTTAAGGAAATGCTGGAGTTGCTTCTTGGAATTTCCCAGAATATGTTGGCAACTGAGCTCTGCTGTGATTTATGCACAGAAAAAATAAAACTATCAATGTCAGAGGGCTTGCTGCGCCATGATATAGTTTCTACCTTGTAAATGGTGTAATTATGCATTGTGACAAAAATTTACCCATACTGTCTGAAAATAGTTTTAGACATAAATATTTTAAATATTTGTCTATTTTGCTATTATCAATCAATATGTGTGAAAAATGTTTCAGTAGCATCCCACTGCATTTAGAGAGATGCAAATGAAGGGAAATGAGTAAGAGTTTGTTTACCGGAGTTCTCAGCTCAGGTATGGCAGCTTGATAGGTGAGTGGTCGGCAATCTCGAGTGTTTGGCACAAGGACACAAGGAAGAAACATGGGACCTAAGTCATCTCCATCCAGGATATCCACGGTGAGTGTGGTGGTAGTGGTCCGCCTTTCATTCAGATTTTGTGCACGGTCCTGTGAGAGGGAAAATAAACAACTGAGTAGCTTAAAAATATTGGGAATAATGTGACTTGTTAAATTTCCTTTTCCTTTTGCTTAAATGATTGATAAGCAACTTGTTTAAACCAACAGTTATAAGTGGTGAAGTTGAGATGTAAACTGAAATCTAGTTATCTTCAAATCAACTTTCTCCAAAAGCTTACTATAGTAGCTAAACTTTCATAGGTCCGGCCTTTTCACAGCATTAGGAGGGTAATAATATAATATTGTGATGAGTTCATTGTGTCCTTGGGAATTTGCTTTATTGAGTCCCTTTTGAAAATAAAAAGAAATCTCATTTACAGCTTTATAATTCACTGGGAAAGCTGATCTGGAAATGAAAGGAAACTTTCCATTATCCAAGTTGAATAAGAAGGAAGAAGGAAGGATGTAATCATCAGGATCCATAGGTGTGGAGTGTGGTTACTTTTAAATACTTTAAAAAATTTTGAAGCAGTTTTAGATTTAGGAAAATATTGATAAGATAGTATAAAGAGTTCCCATGATGTGCAAGCTGGCTCATGTCTGTAATCTCAGCAACTCAGCAATTTGGGAGGCTGAGGCAGTAGTTCAAAGCCAGCCTCAGCAATGGCAAGGTGCTAAGCAACTCAGTGAGAACCTGTCTCCATATAAAATACAAAATAGATCTGGAGATGTTGCTCAGTGAGTAGTTAAGTGCCCCTGAGTTCAATCCCTGGTACCAAAACACACACACACACATACACACACACACACAAGAGTTCCCATGTACTGCAAGCCCAGTTTTCCCTATTCTTAATACTTTGCATTAATATGGTACATGTGTTACAATCAAAGAGACTATAGTGATACTGACCAAAATAACCTGAGAGTTTCCCTCAAGCAGGCCAAACTTCATAAGGACTTCTTCCTTTCTCTAGGCCCCTTATCTCCAACCACCCAAGTCCTGACAGAATCTACATAGCCTTGGGCTCCTTTCTTCCTATTCTTAGAGTATTCACCTTGGATACCTTATGATTGTAAATTTCTTTGCTCCTTTGAGATTAAAAAAAAAAAAAAAAACTTTTATAAACTTCTTGTCAGTTTTACAACCCAGACCTGTCTTTTTCAATGACCTGGGAGTCATCCCTTTGGAATGTAATAGTCAAGAAAGATAGGGCTCCTTCCTACTGAGTCTCTGTGGGAAGTTGGGTGCCTAACTTTGAAGGAGGCTTTCTCCAAGTTCCAAAACTTATGCCCTGCCATAAACATAAGAGAATTTACTTTTCCTTTGAAAAGGCTAAGTAGTAAATATTGATGAACTATGGTTCTCTACCTTCTCTCGCATCCTCTCACACACAAACTCAATTCGGCTCCTAATTACTCACCAGCCCTTCCTCTGGTTGCTCTTTCTTATCAAGATAGCCCAGAACAGAGTATCCCTTACCTATTTAATTTGTCCAGTGCAATTTTTCTTTGATCATACGTTGTTAATAACTGACATGTGATTTTTTTTTTAGTGTCTATTAATTGTTTCTGCTCCAATATTCCAACTAGGATAACTTTTACATTTAGTCATAATGTCTCTTTAGGTTCCTTTTGGCATTGAGAATTTCTCAGACTTCTTATTTTTTAACAATTTTGATTATGTTTGGGAAGTACATAGAGGCAGTGGTGGTATAATACTGAGGATGTATCAAATGCTACTGAATTGTTCACTTCAATTGGTTAATGTATCTTATGTTAATTTACCTCAATTAAGTTTCAAAAGTTGATTAGACTGACTTATTTTACATTGCTTCAAAATCATCTTTCTATGTGACAGTTATCAGATATTAATATAAGCCTACTTTCTTAACTTTAGAAATACTACATTCCAGTCATCTTTCTCAACATGGTTGATTCAGAAGAGTTTTAGAGAAGTGATTGAAGGCAAATCAGAGAAAGCAAAAATCTCTATTGGAGGAATTTTACAAGTGCTATCATACTGGAAAGTAGTAACCTTCTGATTCTAGTATTCTTTTATGTTTTTATTTTATTTTTATTTATTTTTTTTAGTTGTAGATGGACAGAATGCCTTTACTTTATTTATTTTTATGTGGTGCTAAAGGATTGAACCCAGTGCCTCATGCATGCTAGGCAAGTGCTCTACCACTGAGCTACAGTCACAGCCTTCTTTTATGTTTTGATCAATTATAAGATGGATTATGATCAAATCACAGCAAAAATAAATGTTTACATTTTCAAAATGTTTAGATGCATTCAAACCACAGGGTTGATAAAGTGATTGTTTTAAAAACAAGTCATTTGAGATTCAACAGAAAAAATCCTCTGAGCTTTCTTTATCTTGGGGAGCAATAGTGCCATGAATCCCCTCTCCCTGGGTTCCTATGGTCATAAAGAAAAATAGAGAGAAGATAATTCCTATCTACACAAACTAATATCACAATGATTTTTTTCATTTGTATGTTCCCCTGGAATCCCACCTGTTCTTCCCAGTCCATTATGCTACATACATAACTCTGCTTTATTAGCTGTTTTGAAGAGCCATTTCATTTGTTTGCTATCAGCAACTGGTCTGTTGAAAGTATAGCAAAAATAGCTATAATGAAGTAAATACTATTCTAAATTGGGAATGGTACAAATAAAATATAATTATTGGCATAAACATCTGATATGATGTTCATTGCTTGTGTTTTTACTCATTGCAATGTATCAATGAAATGTATGTAAAAGCTACCAAGAAATTTCCTTCTGTCCATGTTTTCATGTTCCCTTTTCATTTCTCATTCTCTTTCCTTTGTTAAAAAAATCTCTTAAAATAATATTTTATTAACTTAGAAAAGTGATTGTAATTGGTCAGCAAGGATATCTCTTTATAACTTTTTTCACAGTTCAAGTGCTGTATGAAATAAATTATGTTCCCCCCAAATTCATATAATGTAGCTTTAATCCCCAGTGCAGTTATATAAGTAGATTATTTAAGGTTAAGTGCTATCATAAGTATGGGTCCCTTATATGATAGAAGTAGCATGATAATAAGAGCTCCACCACCCTGCACCATGGGAGCACAGGAAAAGGAATGAGGCACACTGAAAGAAGATGGCCATCTACCAGCCAAGAAGACAGTTCTCCCCAGAAACAAATCCTACCAGACTTTGTCTGTGGTTTCCGGACTCCAAACTGGTGAGAAGATTTCTGTTGAATAAGACAACCAGTCTATGATATTTTGTTATGGCAAAACAAGCAGACTAATATAACTACTTAATGTAGATTTTCTGAAAATGTGCTGTTATTTCCTATATTATTTATATATTTCCTAACACTGAACATTTATTAACAAAAAAGCCTTAATTACCTTCCTTAAGAATGAGTCACTATGTCTTTTAAAGTTATTACTTTAGATATATGTAAGGAATTGGAGGTTATACAAATAATAATCCAGCAGGAAAGCTGACATATGGGATTTGAAAAGTATAACCATATCTTCAATACAGAATCGAGAAAACAATGAGGACTGTTCAGTGGAGTGTAGGATTTGACAGAACTGGAGCATTCTGTCATTGTCTCACAGAGAGGGATGTTGTACTGAATGCTTAGCATCTTCATGCAAGTCTTTCAATATTCTAGCTCCATATGATGGAAATACAATGCACAACTTTTCAAAAGCATACTGCAACATAAGGACTCACATATCAAAGATACCACATTGCTCTTGAATAAATTGTTTAATGAATAGGTTGAAAGTTTCATCAATACATTACATGGAAGAACTTATGTTTTATAAAACAGGGTTCATGCCTAGTAACACTTAAATAAAAGTCACTATTTTTATAAATGGCTCAGATATACTTTATTGTTCTAACACTCTCTTTTTAAAACATAATTTTATAAAATTAGAAATATTTAAATTGTAATAATATTAAAGCAAAGAAACACCTTTAATTTTAGATGGTGAGACTTTAAGTCCTCCTTCTCAAATGAAAGTGTTTCTTATAAAACAGTTTAATTTCTAATTATTCCTTGATCAAACTTGGGACAAATGCCAGTTTATAATGTTTGTTTGTTTGGTTTTGGCCTGTTCTATGTTTACATTAAGTAAAATTTGGTTGTGGTAAATGGGGCCAAGAAAGATTTGGACTCTAACAATATTTAAAATTATATGAAATCTGAAGTCTGGTTTTAAAATGACTTTGGGACAGACATGCTTATTTTCTGGTTTATTTTTGAGGAAATATCACAGAATCCTTGGAAGAGATTTCTAGAATTTAAATATGCAGTATTAGTTTGTAGTTTAACAAATGGCTAGCAGCACCTAACAGACTCATTCATAGATACATATATTAAATACTATTTCATTACCTTATCAGGTATTTGCAGTAGAGAAAGAAAAAAAAATATTCAACATAATTAGAGTTGCCTTGAGTATTTTGACCCTAAGTCTGTTACCTAAGACCACAGAGCTATTTGTCTTGCTTCTGCTCACTGGTGATAGATGTAATATTACTGACTGAAAATTTAAAAATTAATCCTGGTAACTTCATTCTGTTTCTTTATTTAAAAAAAGAGAATAATAGCAACCAAATTATCTTAGTCTATTTAATTTTAGAAGTGGGCCTTTTTTATTGAAGGTTTTCTTGCTTGTTTGTTTGAGGTGTTTACCCGATTTTTCTTCATTTTTCTGCATGCCTGTACATGCAATAGTATGTTTTACAGACTCATGTGCTCATGTATCTTTATTATTCTAATAATCTATAAATATTTGTTCCGTAAGCCGTAAATCACCATCCACACATTTTACTTCCATACTTTAGAAAGAAACTGGTAGAGTTAAAAACAATGGTTTAAAATTAGTACTTACTCCAAATTGATAGGGAGCAGAAGTGAGGGAAGGTCAGGGTGAGAGTATTTTGAAAAGATTTTTACATAGGTTGAAATCTGAAAGTACGATTTTTTTGTGTGTGTATCCAATAAAAATGTAGATATTTTTACATACACATATACTTCTGACTTCCATCCTCTGAATTTTTTAGTGGAGCTTCTGAGGCAGAATCCAGGCATCTACATACTGAATATGGCTCCACGTTGATATTGATGTGGTTGTTTGGTAAATCATACTTTGGGAAGTATTTCAGTTTGGGCTAAAAAGCAAATTATTGGCATGCAGCGCCTACATTAGAGGGAGATTTAGATGAGAAAGAATAGTGAGTAGAAGCCAACCCTCCAACTCCATTCCATCACTTTCCTCGAGTTGAATCATATAATATATAAATTCCACCAAGGGCAGCGCTGCCCTGTTGAGAAAGTTTATCATGCCAAGGACTCTAGGAGCATTGGATGCATTGTTTACTTCATAAGTTCATAGAAAAAGATAGGAAATTAAATACTCACATTAGCTTGGATGATGACGAAGTATCGAGTCTTGTCTTCATAATTGAGTCTCTTCCTTAACACTACATTTCCAGTCAACATAAGGGGAATTTCAAAGGTGTCATTGGATGTCTGCAAATATTAAGCACACAAGGTTCAGATTAGTTGAATATATGATGAAACAAGATAGTTTTATATTGTGGATTAGTCCTCTTGAAAGGTAGATGGTTTGCTTATTATCTGAGAATTAAATGTGAGTATAAAGTTTATACTGAATATCCTTATAATTTCTCAAAATATTTTATTTTGATCAAAAAGTTTCACCAGAGATAATGATAACTGTAATGCAGTACACTTGTCATAGTTTTTCATATATTATTAAGGTTATTCATCCATGGCTCTGTAATAGTCCTGAGTCAAATTCCAGAAACCTGAAAATCTTCCCTGTTATCTTTTGACCTGTTGTTGTAACATCAAAGAGTTCAGATTTTGCAGTTTGTTATTTTTATTTAATTTCACTTTTTTTACATTTGTGCAAATGTCATATTCCAAGCATTTTCTGACATTAAATACAATATGATCATGTAACTTATAATTTAAAGTTTATTTTTTTTCAAGGCTCATAATTTAACACATTAGTTAAGCTCCCTAACCCCATTGCTTCCTGGTAACATGCAAGTTATAAGGACAATCTTTAAGGTGCCTTCCAGATAACATGCAGGTCATAAGGACAATCTTTGAAGCGCCTCCTCTTACAAGAAGCCCTCAGTTTAAGTGTATTCACTCCTTAAGAGGACAATTTACAAGGTTAGTGTCTTCCCATAGACCTTAAATGACTCCTGTACTTTATTGTCATTGTGAAAAATGATAAAATAATGTTTGCAAATTCTATTCTGAAATCTTCTTTCTTCCAATTTCAATTAAGTCTTTGATATGATGTTGAAATTTTTTTCATACAAAACATATTTTTTGTGTATTTTCTATTTCCCTTCACGGATTCTTCAGGAGCCTCAGTCCATGACACAGAGATACTTACCTTTCTATCTCTATCAAAACAACTTGAGGGATATTTTCAATATTTTGTTGTTGTTCTTAACAGTTTTCATTAAAAATATGAAGAACTATTATGAACAACTATGTTAAGGATAATAACAAGTAAAGTTATTGTTAATAACAAGTAATGTTATTGCTCTCTGAGAATTTTTGATCTTATTTCTTATTAGCTAAATCTATATTTTACATAAATCTGATATTTTCATGTTTTAATTGTTTCATAAGTACTTTGAAAAATAAAGGGGCAGTATGCGCTTCATCATCAGCGCTACTTTGTAAATGTTGGCAAGCCTATGTACTAAAATTAAATAATTTCTTGATTAAACAAGTATTTTTGAGTAGCCATTCTTTCTCTAAAACTTATAGATTAATAATTAAATAAATCAATAGAAGAAAATGTACAAAATAGAGAAGCATAATGTAGATAAAGATTTAGGAGCTGGGTATGGTGGCACACGCATATGATCCCAGAAGCTCAGGATGCTGAGGCAGGGGGTTCTGAAGTTCAAAGTCAGCCTCAGCAAAAGTGAGGCACTAAGCAACTTAGTGAGACCCTATTTTTAAATAAAACACAAAAAAGGGCTGGGGATGTTACTTAGTGGTCAAGTGCCCCTGAGGTCAATCCCCGGTACTGAAAAAAAAAAAAAGATTTAGAAAACTTTCTCTAGTAAAATGAATATTGGTTAAGATCAACTCTAATTAAATGCCCTATTTTAGTGGAATTCCAAAACTTAACCTAAGAAGTAAAAAGAAAGCAAGATTTTATAGAAAAAATCATTGTTTGTTTGCTTTATTGTTAATTATTATAGTATAGGGTCACAGGGAAATGGGACAGTTCACTCATAATTTATAATATATAACATATATGTATTGTTCAGATACATCTCTGTTCCCCCTTATTCAGAAAGTCTCAGTAGTCTACATTTCTATCAGACTTACTGCATGATTCTGATGCAGACAGTTAAGATTTTACTTTGAGAAAGTGGAGTAGGAATGTGTCTGCATTTTGCCTTTCTGCTATTTATGGCTCTTTCCTTTCATAATTAGAGCTTTGATCCATAATGAAGAAGAGCATGGGAATAGTAATATCCATTTGCTTCAATGTTTGTGAGGCAAAGCCATTGCCCTCTTTCTGATAGTTCTGGACATTCTGTAAGACACAAACTTGGCACCCTTTTCTTTAGGTGATGGAAATTTAAATGTTGACCTCTACCTACACCATCTTAACAAAAGAAATCCAATTATGGCTCAATCTTTTGACATCCACTGGCTCTAAACACCTGGCCTCCATTAAGAAAGGTCCACTCACAATTTCCAAGTGGTTCAGTGACCTGACAACTGTCAGAGAAGGGGCAATCCTCCATTTAGTAAAGTGAGGATATGAGACAGGTTGAGCAGTTTTATCACTATCCAAAGGACAGAAATTAAGGTAGAAGGCAGGTGTAACTTCCACACCACACACTTATGCACCCACAAAGGAGGGAGGTAGAGGGAATATTGACACTGTTTCCCACAAGATGATTTAATTCTCCCATAACCTTCTTTATTAATATGTGTGAAGTTGAGTTAGTAATAGTTTAGATAAAAAGTCATTTCTCTGAGGGTCCTGCTAGCAGTTATTATGCCCTTAGTTAGAGATATGTTCACTTTGAGTAAGACTAATTTTCCCTTAACTTATAATAAACAGCATCAATTTTGTCCTAACATTCTCTATTCAACCCTTAGCTTGTGTCTTATTAAGCCAGGCCCCCATGGCATCAGTTAATGATCAGCCTATAGATGGGTTGTCATTGATAGGCCATTTCCCCTAATCTAATTACTGACAGAAAAAACAGATCACTTAGCAAGAATACATTATCCTTGTTTACCAGACTGTGATTCATATAGGAAGCATGGACTCTGCCCTTACTACCACTCTGATAATATTTTACTATTTAATACAAAGTTATCATAAACACATATATTTGCATTTTACCTTGTTCTAACCTATTTCCCATCAAACTGTATTAAGAAGTGCTTAATTGAGTGTAGAAGTATTTATATTGCAAAGTTAAAAGGTTACAGATTTATATTGAAAAGACCTAGGTTCCAAGTTTTATAAATAGATGACTTTTAGATGACTTAAACAAGAAAAAACGAGAATATTAAACATGATAGGGATTTGAGACGGCCATGATATAATATACCAGGTATGATATTCTTGAAGTATAACATATTTCTACTATTTAGCTGCCTAGAAACTATTTTTGCTTAGCTTGGAATATTTTAATAACATCTGAATTTTGACATTGACTTAAATACAGAAACTACTAAAGGATGGTAATTTGTTAAAAACCTTTTACATTTGAACTGTGCTTTTAGCTTCCCGACTCAGGAAATTCAAATGTATTACATGCTTGCATGTTAAAAAATAAATTGTGGTTTATTTTTTCTCAATTCCTTCAAAGCTATAGGGAGTTAAGTGTACTATAAAAGAGGACAATCTACTCAGGAGGCATTGATAAAAGATATTAGCACCCTCTGAAAAACTGCTCTACTGCCTCCAAAACAGAAGCTGTGTATGCACACTATTACCTTGGTGCTTTTCTGATAGCAGTGGTTCCTAATAGAAAAGGTATGCTGTAGCCTTAGTTCACTGGAGACTGCGACACGGGATATGTTGTCCCTTTCCTCCTAATCACTTTAGATCAAAATACTTAAAGTGCAGAAGATTAAGAGAACTAATACAATAAAACTTCTAGAAAGTTTTTTCAATCTTGCTAACAATGGAATTTAAAATATCAGAATGATACCTTTTTTATATTTGCATTTTCTCATTTAATATATAATATAGACACAAAAATGCAAGATTTGTGAAGCATGTGATGAATTCAAAAAAGTATTTTTTTTTCAATTTTTTCTAAACAATTAAATTAGTCAATGTATTTATTATGGCAAAGGCATCAAAAACAATATTTTACAACAACTGTGATGAGCATAGTATAAATGTCATAGACATTAAAGGCCCCTAATTTAAATGTTTGTAGCTCTCTTCGCTCAGCAAATATCCTGTAGTATCATGTCCTAACAAATAATCCAAATGTTTCTTAATGAACAATAGGTGACAGAATGAAAAAATGCACTTATAAAGAAGAATGTCTCTTCTTCCCTTGGATAAGAAAGAACTACAATTTTTTTTGTTCTGCCAAACTTTATTCAGGTTTTTAAAATTTTTTTCAAGCCCATCCATGTACTTCCTTATAAAATCCAATGTTAGCAAATAACCTTGCTAACTCAGTTGGGCAAGAATCCCCTCAGTCTAGATATCTGATCACCCTCCATATCTGATATTTGATCAGGTACCCAATTTTCCATCATTCTCCAGGTCTTGTGTGATCACTTCTGCTTGGTTCTAGCAAGAATCCTGATAAGTGTGTCTAACTTTCCCCCCTTCCCCTGATAATCTCTCCTAGAAAAATTTATTACATGGATCATCACCCTGTTCCTTGCCTACAAATTCCACTTGCTCATGTCTTATTTGGAGTTGAGTTCAATCTCTCTCCACTGTAAGAACTGGTTGCAGTAATTCTATATCTATTGCAATTTTCCTGAATTAAGTCTTTTTCACCATGCTTTCACATGTCATTGAGTAATTGTTTTCTTTAACAAATGTTTAAAGGATTTTATGAGACATTTACTAACATTTATTTTCTAAATAAATCGGTTAAGAAAAAATAGGTTATGCTACAGAAACAAAGGTCCTTATTTTCATTTCTTACCTGATCCACATATTTATACATCTAGCACTTCAGCAGATAGACTTTGTTTCTTGTCATTCAGAATTCAGGCTAATAGATGGCTTACCTTGTAACAGTGGTCCACTTCACCTTTTGAATATAAGCTCTGAATATATGCTCTGAGGCTTATTTTTTAAAGATGTGTTCTTTTCCCTGTCTCCTTCTCCTGCTTCCTAACCGTGGGGCTGGGAACAGGATTATTTTGAGTTATCTGTGCTCCACAGAAAGGAGATGTCTGCCAGGGGATCTAGAAAGTGAATATCTCCCAAATTAACAAGTGAATGCTATCACACTATCAGGGGA